CCATAAAGAAATGAGAGGGCATGGGCAGACAACCCCTACATACAGATACTGGCTTCTCCCTAGCTTATAAGGGGAAGACATCAGCTCAAGTGTATAACTAAGAGACGTAATGATAGAAAGGGCTGTGGCCAAAAAAGGTGCCGAGTCTGGTATATATGGTACAACAGATTTTAACACCATCAAACCCCAGCTTCCAAGGTACATACATACACACTACTGCTCTGTATCAATTATGTAAATACTCAAAATTATCAACTGAAAGGGACTTAATAAGGTATAATAAAACGAGGTTAAAAAAATTCCTTCATCAATAGTTGATTTCCTCTATTGGCCTTACTATCCCACGCCCTGGATGTTAACGAAACCTTACAATAAAAAGTTTAGGAATGACAAACTAAGAAAGCAATGGAAGAGAAAAATCACAGCAGAAAAAAGAATCTGTTGCCTAGTTAGAATGGGGTTCTCTTAGTAATTCTGATAGGCAAGAGATCAGGATATGAGAGGCAAAAAGATTAAATCCATCTTCTATAGCATACAGTAACTTAATCCTCAAAGGTCCTTGGAAATATGGAATGCTGCTGCAACCTAAAAACTATGGCCCTTTCTCCTGAAGGTTCTTCCGCAGGCCAGTCAGCCCTCTGAAGTTGTTTTCATTTATTTCATTTCCTGCAGTCCCCAAACTGGTCATTTCAAAGCAAGAGAAACAAATATGCTATCCAAGTGATTCATCTTCGTATCATATGATTCCCTCTCTCCCCTCACCCCACAGCCAGCTCAAGCTAGTCTGGGTCATATGGTATTTTCCTGTGGGTGTCACTTCCTGAATGGCAGGTCACAGCAGAAAACTTACACCCATCTGCCTACATTAAGTAAGCACTCATATTAGGACTTGGCTAGGCACATATCTCGAACAAGTTTTTGTCAGTCTTAAGACCAGTTCCCTGAAAAAGCCTTGTGAGGATTTGAGAGGGCTAGAGTAATACAGAACTCTCTTCTTCCCTCCTAAAAAACTGATTATTCTTAAAGACAAACTTACTTATTCACTGGAAAATGTCAAATGCATATATTTGTATCCTAAGTCAGAATTGCATTCTTATTCAAAATGGCTAGCAAGAGACCACAGTTAGCAATTTTCCTCTCTATATCTGCTCCCCTGGAATCCTGGGCTGTAAATCACACAGTAGCTCACCACTCAGAATGACTGATGAGTCCACTGTAACTCTCTGGAACCTGGGCAGTGAACCACAGGACAACATGAGGCATGTCCCAGAACCCAAAGTCAGTTCAACTGAGGCGCAATGCAGAGTTCAGCAAGTTGGTTCCCAAAAAGAAGAACAAGACATTCCTACTACTAGCAGGCTGAAAAATGTCAGTACTGAGGCTTAAAATACTTCCCTGAAAGAAAGCAAAACTCGAAGGCCAAGATTGTAGCCAAGCATCGTTTACAGACTGACCTTTCAAATTTTTCAGTTTCCTTCCACCATAAGGAGACTCCGAAAGCATTTCCTCATTCTAAAAGCATTAATAATTATGGTTATCTCAGTACTACAAGGGTTTCATTAAATAATAATGTCTGGACTGGACAAATGAGGGAATGGTAGGGTGGGAAGGATGGAGGAAGAGAAAGACATTTAGACAGAAGGGGAGACAAGTGCCTTTCAGGACGAAGTGTAGGCCTCAGTCCAATTCAATTCTGTTAACATTTGCTCAGTACCTAGTTTGTGTGAGTACTCTGCAGGTTTCCTAGATAGATACATAAAACGACCCTGGCCAAATTTCCAAAGCTAATGTTCACTTCACATAATCAACCATGTTACTGAATACTCAAGAATACTCTCTTTATTCACAGAAAACAAACTCTAAACCCACTCGAATTAGAAAGACACCACCAGTTTTTGGCTGAGGAAGAAAATGACCACTGACTAATTTTTCTTACCATCTTCTCCTTTAATAAACTTTCAATTCCTTTATTACATTTAGGAGAAAACTTCAGTTTGATATCAATATTTTTAAAACAACTTTCCTTAACACTCACTTACTAATCCCCTTTTAACAAAGGGGGTAAGGTACAGATAGCTTGAGTAGCAGCAGTCCATGAAGTTGTAGATTAAAAACAGAACTGTACAAGGAAGCAAGAGGCCACTAAGTGGTTGGTGTCAGGACTCACAACCAATTACTGGAACCTGGAGCCCAAAAGGGTTCCTGTATCTAACCAGCAGCCACAAGGAAGAAGGTATTATGGCTATGCTAAAGAGGCTTTTTCCTAAAATCTAAGACAGTTCAAGTACATCATTCATATTATACAGTGAAATATAGAGAAATAACTTTTAACAGAAGTTTTTTTTGAAGTGAATGGTTCTCAAACTATGTGGTCTCAAGATCCCTTTAAACTCTTAAAACTTATTAAGAACCCCAAAAGGCTTTAGTTTATGTAGGTAAAATCTATATTTGCTATAGTAGAAATTAAAACTTAAATGTTAAAACTATTAATTCATTTAATAATAAAAAGAAACCTATTACATGTTAACATAAGTGACATGTTTTAGAAAAAATAACTATTTTCAAAAATAATTTTTAGTGAGACTAGCACTGTTTAACATTTTTGCAGATCTCTCTAATGTCCACCTTAATAAAAGACCACTGTATTCTCTTTTCTTCTGTAATATTCAATCTGCTTCAATATCACATCTCATTCAGCCTCTGGAGTTCTCCACTGTACAGTCATAAGGAAATGAAAGGGAAAAAGTAAATAAAGTCTTAACATTATTATGAAAATAATTTTGACCTGTGGACCCCAAAAAGGATTCCTAGAGGTCCTTGGGCCACACTCTGAGAACTACTGTATTCTCTATTAGAGATTGGAGGGAAACAGCACTCCTTGACTTAGCTATTTACATGTAATTCTTACAAAAGAGAGGGATGGGCTACTCCAATTATATGAGACCCTGAAAGAAGATGAGATCCAAATATAATATAGTGAAAGAGATTTAGCCTATATTTATTTTCCTGTCCTCTGCCATCGACCCCACCTGCCTCATCCATTACAACTTGTGGCCTGGGACAGCTCCCTATAACAGATGGCAGATGATACTTAAAATCTTAAGAACTACATTTATATAATACTGAAAGTTGACTGCCTCTTAACATTTTAGTAAAACTGATTCTATTCGAGACATATTCTTTACTTGGCTATCAGTGTGGTTCTCAACCAAGCGTAAAGACATCAGAATTTCTCAGAGGGCACGGGTAGCTAGAAGAAGCACATTCAATATTATAACATAAGTTAGTAGTTAAAAAGTGGAAAAAATACTGTACCATTTTCATAACAAACTAGGTGGGTAAAGTATTTTTAAAAGGTTGAAAATTACTGATATAAGGTCAAATTCCTAGAACATGTGAGCAATACCTATAAAATTTTGAAGCAAATACCAATTAGGATTATCTAATGAATTGCTATTCTCAGTGGTTATGAAACTATCTTCTCAAAATCATACTACTTTTGCCTTACTCACTGTTAATGTATCCAAGAAAGCCTAATCTATGGTCAGTGGGCATACAACTTAAAAACAACCCAGGAACCATGCCAGGGGCTTTCAGGTGTGATATCTCATTTAATCGTCTTAATAAACTAGTGAATCACATGCTATTCTATGATTCTTGGTAATATGAACATCTAGTACTACTAGCCTCACAAAAAACAAAAAAATAGGTGATTGAGTATTGAGATGTGAAGTGCAAGGATGTAAGTGAGGAGGGTAACAGGAGCACTCTCCACCATGACTTCTGATCTTGCATTTTCCATCCTACTGTTCCAGGTCCTCACATGCTCACCCTGAGGGAGAAACCAATCTAAATTGAGAAATGGAGTCAGGGTTGTTATCTTCAAGAACCTTTTGGACCGTCGAGCTCCAAAGGTAGCTGTCACAAAAACTGCTGCCTCCTATTCTTTCTTGGACCCAGGACTTCTGACTTTTAGCTGGGCTAAACAAAGACTACAGTTCTCGGACACTACTGCAGCTAAGTTCTGGACAATGAGATATAAGGAGAAGAGTCTGGGGTGACTTCTGGGAAATGCCTTAAAGAGAGGGGATATACTCTCCCTCTTCCATTTCTTCAACTGCCTGAAAAGCAGACAAGATGTCTGCAGTTTGAGTAGCTATCCTGGATCATGAAGTAGAAGCCACATGCTATGGATGGCTGATTAGCTGAATTTTTGGAAAGAGCTTGCAGCTCTGATAAAGTGAAATGCCATGCCAGCTCTGAGTGACCTGTAGACTTCTTTTATGAGTTAAATGTACTTTTATTCAAGACATTATCATTTTAAATTTTCTGTCACACATAGCCAAATTTAATTCCAACCAAAATGGTAGCTGAAAAGAGAAATCAGAAATTCAGATGACTAACTCTAAGGCAGCAGAGCATAGTGGTCAGAAGCATGAAGTCTGGAGCCAGTCTGTCTGGGTCTAAATCCTGCCTCCCACTAACTAGCTGTGAGACCCTGAGCCAATTAGTTACACAGTGTTATCATCTGTGAGAATAATAATAGTACCTACCTGTGAGAGGGTTATGAGAATTGAGTTATTAACTTGTAAAGCACTTAAAATAGCGCCTGGCATATAATAAGTGCTGTCTAAGTATTTGCTAAGTAAAATAAATAAACACATTTGGAGCAGGGCCAAAGATGACGAGACCAACAACAGTGAACCTGTGGGCCAATATGATATACCACAGCATTTAGGAAGTGATCCCCTGCTCTTAACCACATTTTCCTCAGTGGTAGCAAGATGGTGACATTTTTGTCAGGGCATATGTGTTTTGACTTCCCACCTAAGACAAGGCAGTGGCCTAGGAAATTTTAGAGACCAGGATCCTGCCAATCACCAAGAAACATACCAATGGTCTGTCATTCTCTGTGACCCATGTACTGAGGTAGTAGTATTTTACCTGCCACGTAGAATTAAGAGATCATATTACTACCACCTGTCAGAGTACCTGACCACTTCTCAGCTGACCTGATACACTTCCAACAGAGCTGTAACAGTGTCATGAAAGAAAAACAAAAACCTTCCTCTGGCTCCTGTACCTATCAAAGATAATCAGTCAACGAGCTAAAACAAAAACAAAAAAACTACTCATATCTTAGGTGTCATTCTGGTTCCCAAACAAAAAAGATGAAGGCATCTTGCTAATATTTAAACTTCAAGATATCCAGCTTTCTTTTCTTCTTGAAGTGATGGTTCTCCTTTGAGCTTTCAATTCAACTCACTGCTCCCTTATTTAAGGAACTTGGAAAGACCTATTACTCTCAAAGCTTTCCCCATCTCAGTCTATGTTAACTGAGTCGATGGCAGAATTGGTCTTGGTTCTTGATGATAACTCAGGGACGACATCTGGGAGAATAACCAGACCATCCAATGAACCTAACCTAGAGTTAGAAGTCATGGCCCATCCTGGCCACTCAGCACTCCTATCAAAACAGTATACCACCCAACTAGAGTTCACACAGGAGAAATGCAGGGAAAATCTGAGGGAGCTTTCACACCCATCATTCTAATAAGTATAAAAATAATATATTTTTCCAATAAACCATTCTGGCCCATCTAAGAACTTTGAAAGAGATTTGATATTTTTTGACCTTCTGATATTCCCATGATATCTCTGCAGTTCTCAAAAGACTAAAGGCCAGAGACATTCAAACTGTAAACCAGGAAAATCTACCAGATCACCATTGCCTGCCCACACTCATCTGAAGCTGCTACAAGCCATGCATCTAGAAATTGCAGCTTGCTGCCTTCAGAACTCAAAATGGATTATAGTCTGCTCCAATTATTAACTTTGTTTTTCTTTTGTTTCCATAGAAATGCTTCTTATTAAATAACTGACTGCTTGTACAATATAGGCCTAACTTTGAGAGCCCACTTGCATCACTGCCTCCAGAAATGAGACATATTTAACTGGGTAGACATTCTCAAGACTAAGAGATCAGTTCAATGAGATGGAGCAATCCATCAACTAAACCTCTTGGGCTGGACTGTGAAACTTCTTAGGGAAGTTTCAAAGGCGGGACTAAAGGGGAGCAGAATATACCACCCCAAAATGTGCCACTTCTGCATGTGGACTGTTTTGAGCTGAAGGCAATCAAGCCCTAGCAGATTCAGGAAAAACTTTTACCTCTCCCTTACCTGCATAAAAGTATTTAGATAGAGGGCCTGGCCCAGAAAGAGAGCTATTACCAGAGATAACTTTTTATCTGAAAGACTTACCTGCATGGCAAGTAAAACATCTGATTACCAAACACCTGCTCTTCTTAACTTCCTGGGAATATCCCTCCTCTCCTTTGAAGCTCTAGGCTGCTATCCCTTAGCTCAGAACAGCATCTAAGCCTCAACTGCCTGACTGCCTTTGGATCTCATGTTTTTGGGGCTCCCATAACCAGGGAAATCAAATTTTAGTCCTGTCTAAAAAAAAAAAAAAAAAAAAAAAAATGAAAAATGAAAAAAGGAACAAAGGTCATCTCTCAGCTGCCCTGGTTACTCCATGCCCCATCCCATCCCCAACCCCCTTTTTACACATGCAGGGGATAAAATAAAGGTCAGCAAACACTCTGCCTTAGATGAAATGCAAAGTGACTGTCCTGGGAGACAAATGAAAGTAAAAAGGCAGCTAACAGTCCCATGATTCTAAAACTCCATTCTAAGCTGAAGAACCATAAAAAAGGATTCGAATATTTTCCACAAAGAAGTGAGCAATAACCAAAAGAGATTAAAACTGGTGATTCCACCCACTCTTATCACCATCGTCCGCCAATAAGAGACCTGGGAAGGCGGCAGGAGACATCACCACAGCACAGAAAGCTGGAACTGAACCGTCAAGAGTCCCTAACCGGTTACCCGTCCTTCTCAATGAACAGCGAGAACACTGGTTTGGCCCAAAAAGAGAGATAATGGGCCCAAAGCTCAAAACTGTAAATCTGAAGGTTAATGAACGAAAAGCAGACTCTGTAGTTTAAAGCTAAGGAACCTACTAGAAAGCAGCATCTCCCCGCGCCTCTGTTCAGAGGCCGATTGCCCCACCACACGGTTGGGCCCCTCGCCTGTATCTGGTCAATTTCCTCTTTTCATTTTTCGCTCACTCCTCCCCCACCAAATAGGTTCTGATTTATTTCCACATCCCGCAGAGCTTCTGCATCTTCAGTCCTACGTGGCATTCCAAAATTCTGCCAAGGAGCTCCACACTGTGAAGTTTCTCCCTTTTTCTGCCTTTCTTTCAAACCTCTCCTCCTTCTGGCTATGCGAAACCCCAAACTCCCCTGGACAGGCCCACTCTCCCGAAGCCTGCGGCCACGGTTTCCACCACGCTCTCACCCCCTGAGGGTCCTTGACGAAGTAGCTTCCGCTGGAGCCCTGGTAGATACGCTCCGGGAAGAAGCCCCGCTCGATGGCCAGCTCGGCCTGCCGCACCACCGCCTCGAACTCGGGGTCCTCTGGAAACTCGTTCCGCTCGCGGTGGGCCTGCGCGACGTGCGCCGCCGCCGCGGCCTGGGCGGCTAGGGCTTGGGCCTGCGCCACCACGGTTTGAGTCTGACACTGGGCCGCCGCGCCCCGAGCCCGATCCAGCAGTGGCTGCCGCTCCCGGTCGTGGCCTGGGGAGCCCGGAGGAGAGGGGGCCGGGCCGGCCGCCGCCGCCACTCGGACCGCGCCCCCCGGCACCTGGGGAAAGTGAGCGCCCGAGCCGGACGGGAAGGTGTAGTCCGGGGGTTGGGCCCGCTCCGGGGACACTAGTGGGCTCGTTTCGTCCATCCCTCAGACCGCCGGCTCCGGGTCCCGGCGCGAGCTCCACACAGCGGAGCTCCAGCCGGGACCAATCCGCAACACCCCCCAATCTTCGCCTGGCCAACCAGCTCTTGGTGCCTCTTTGGCCCCGCCCCCACCATCCCTGTTTACTTGGTGACGAGTAGACACGACCCCTTGCCCGCGAACAGTAGCCAATCAGAACCAGCGCCTACGCAATCGCGCCCTCCGCAGTTTTTGCTCGTCATCTTCTGTGAGGACTGCGCATGCTCTAGGTGCCAAACTCCGGTCAGACACGCCGGTCAGCTCTTGCCAGCCCCGCCCCGCCCTTAGCTTTCAATCGTTGACCGGTCTCTGGGAGTTTTCAATAAAGTAGACTACCTAATCAGTCACAAATTATTGAGTGTCTGTGAACCAGCTGTGAGACTGGAGAAAGGTAATCTTTATATCTATATTCATTCAATCATGCATTCAGTCATTAAATATTGAGCATCTACTATGTTCTAGATGCTGGAGAAACGGCAGTGAAGCAAAGAAACAAAAATCCCTGTTCTACATAAATAAAAAAGGTTTTTTAAAATCCCAGCCCTCATGCAGCATACACAGTGCCTAGCCTAAAACTCAATGTTTATTTGTTAATTGAGGAAAGCTATGGTCCCATCAGACAAAAATTCCATGAGGTAAGAGTCTATGACTGTTATATTTATCACTGTAAAACCTCAGTGTCTAGACACAGTAGGTGCTCAGTACATTTTTATCAGTGGAAAAGAGAAGGATGATATAGTTCCTGCCTTCAAGATGAAAACACAGCATTCTGAAGCAGTAGGAGAAAAAGAGCCAACAATGAGAGCTGAAAACTCTATAATAGGAGTTCAGCAATTTGGGGGTAGCTGGAGAGTCAGCAAAGGCCTTACGTGGGGCACGTGGTCTGAGCTAAGTCTTAAAAAACAAATGTAATTAAATCACTGAAGGGTGGAGAGGGAGGAGGAGAAAAGGGAATTAGAGATATTTGAGTTCGAACCCCAGCTTCACACTTAGCAGTTATTTTGTATGAGATGTTTAACTCTTTAAGCCTCAGCTTTCTCATCTATAAAATGAGAGTAATCATCTCTTCCCCAGTTGATTAAATAAGAATCAAGATAAGTATGTAAAGAACTTAGCATAATGCTTAGTACATAAAAAGCACTCAACAAATGGTAGGTTTTTATCACTGCTGAGGTTATTGTTGATGTTTTTGTTTTTGTGACTAAAGTAACCAGCAGACAAGAGACTTGGATTTTCAGAAAGATGACCAACCACATGGTAACCAATATTTCATAATCATTCTGAAGAACAGAATGAAGAAATAAAATGGAGTCACTATAGTCAAACTACCAAATTACTAAAATCAATTTGCTTGAAGCATGAAAAAATAACCTATTCTTGTTTTTACTAGCTGGGAAGTTACCAAATTACTAAAATCAATTTGGTTGAAGCATGAAAAAATAACCTATTCTTGCTTTGACTAGCCTGGGAACTTAAAGTTTTGAACTTTCCAGTCCTGCATCAATGCCTGGATATACATCAATTTGTTGTATGTCAATACCTGGACATACACCAAACCTCCAGATAACACGTGAAGGACTCACATATCCAGACCACTTGACATTCGCCTAACATCCATTATCCAGACCATGATGTGACCAGAACTCCTGGCTCCCATCTTCCAAATCTGACGTCTGACTGATGTCCAATCCCAAGGCAAAGAATGCACAACTGATTATTCTTAAGATGCACATTTTACTATAAGAACATTTAACTTTTCTTTCTTCTTCAGAACACTTCTGGGTTTTTGCCTAGTTGTATTTCTAGTTTGTAAACTCTAAGATCCTTGAATAAATTTTTATCATTTATTTCCAGCCAAAGTTTCCAGATTCCTTTTCAGTTCATTCGACAATTCTTTCTTGAATCAAATTATTGCCACAGCTAACTAGAAGTACTGAATTGTTTAATTATATGTATGGAAATGTCCTAAATATATATATATATATTTTTTGCTAAATAAGCCATTCTAGCAAAAGTCCATATAGATGGTTCAATTAACCCTTTCAGTTACAAGATATGTATTTCCCTTTCCTACTTAAACACCAAATAATTAAGTAATAGTTTTCTCTTGTGTGCTAGAGACCAGAGCCACAGAGATAATCTCCTGTATTATTCATCTTATTTATCTCCTAAGCTTCAAATTATGGTCAAGGAAAGCTCCAAGATTTAGACTTCTCCGTTGAATTCTGAGTTTTCTCTATGGAAAACCCCCAGAATTTCTGTATCTACCTCTTAGAACTTGACTTCTACCGAAAAGAGTGTCAATGCATTCCCTATTACCTGTGAAGCGCTAGTACTTAGCAAATGCTAAGCATATGCCAGACATTATTTTAAGTGCATTACATGGAGTAAATCATGTAACCAGCATCACAGTTCCCTGCAATGTTGGAAACTGAGTAAAGTAACTTGCCTATGGTCATATAGCTGGTAAGTGGCAGAGCTGATCCAAATCCAAGCAGACTAGCTCCACGCTTTAAACATTCTATTAAATACCTCTGTGAAATGCGTCTCACATTTACCCCCTTTCTTTCCATCTTCACTGATGCCACATTCCAGGATGCCTTCACTACATTACAATAGCTTCTAGGTTTGTTTCTGGTTCCGATTTCTCTCTGATCATCTCTGGGTATTACTACCAAATTAATTTTATTAAAATACTGATTTCATTGTGTCACTGCTCTGATCAAGAAACTACATTTTTTTATTGTGGTAAAATATACATAATATTTATCATTTTAATCATTCATATGTGTACAATTCAGTAACATTAAATATTCACAATGCCGTGTAACCAAGACCACTATCTTGACCCAGAACTCTTCCATCATGACAACAAAAACTCTGTACCCATTAAATAATAACTCCCTCTCCCCCTAGTTCCTGGTAACCTCTATTCTACTTTCTATGTCTATGAATTTGCCTATTCAAGAAACTACATTTTGCAAACCATATCTTCTAATTTTTCACGTCTTTCCATAATTTACCCACAATCTATTTACCATTATCTCTTCATATTTTCTAATACACATTCTCCAATCTGTTTTCTTTTTTATTATTATTAAGTTTATTGGGGTAACATTAGTTAATACAATTATATAATTTTCAGGTGTACATTATAATTTGACATCTGTATATTCTATTGTGTTTACCACCTAAAGTCTAATTTCATTCAGCTACCATATATCTGATCCCCTTTACCCACTTCACCCTCCCTCTGCCCCCCTACATTTTGACCTCCTTTACCACGTCTACCTCCCCCCTCCTCCCCTACCTCTTACCCTCTGGTAACCACTAGTCTATTGCCCATGTCCACGAGTCTCTTTGTCCTGTTCATTTGTTGCTTTTAGGTTTATATCCCACATATAAGGGATATCGTGTGACTTCCAACTTTTTCTGTCTGGCTTATTTCGCTTAGCATGATTATCTTGAGGTCCATCCATGTTGTCGCAAATGGCAATATTTCATCTCTTCTTATGGCTGAGTAATATTCCATTGTATATATGTACCACAGCTTCTTTAGCCAATCATCTATTGTAGGACACTTTGGTTGCTTCTATGTCTTGGCCACTGTGAATAATGCTGCTATGATCATTGGCATGCAAATATCTTTTTGGATATGGGTTTTCAAGTCTTTGGGGTAAATACCCAGTAGAGGGATTGCTGGATCATATGGTAGATCAATTCTTAGTTTTTTGAGGAACCTCCATACTATTTTCCATAGTGGTTGTACCAATTTGCAGTCCCACCAGCAGTGTATGAAGCTTCCTTTTTCTCTGCATCCTCTCCAACATTTATTACTTGTCCTGTTGTCCAATCTGTTTTTTTGACACTTCATTCTCTCAACTACTGTATTTATATCTATAGTCAATACCCACAGTTTTAGCATGTTTAAACATTGAATATTCGAGCTGGATTGAATCTTATGTGTCTCCTAGTCCAATCTCATTTTACATGCTAGAGAGCTTAATAACTTGCTTGAAGCCATACACGGTGGCAGAGATGGGATTTGAATACAGAATACAAGTCTGCTAAAACAATTAAAAATGATTGGTTATTGAGCACTTACAATGTCTCAGACTCAGTACTGAGTATTTGACACTGTATTCCTCAACAAGTCCTGGGCAGCATTTATCATTATCATCATTATAATTTTCTATCCTACAGATGAGGAAAATCTAAATTCTGAGAAGCAATTTGCTTACTTTCTTCAGGTATTTTGCCTTCTCTTAATAATTAAATACAGTCTTGGATTTTTTCCATGTGCATGAATCTTTTCTTCTCCACACTTAGGCCCTAAGTCCCATGAGGGCAGTGATTATGTCTTTTCTAGCCTGGCAGAACCTAGCATCATACTGCCTTCACATTGTTAATAAACATATGTATTAAAAAAATTGGCGTGCATGATATTTGGGAGGAGTTGCTCTCATCTTGGCACTATATTTTAAACACAAAGGATCTGGGTAATGACAACGACAACATAAACCCCTACAATGAATGTAAACGTGCCCTGATATCACAGGGCTGGCACAGAGTTGATATTCATTGAACTATAGTTGCCTGGTCCAACGCGTTACAATTTTCAAAGCTGCACCTTAAAAGCCGTGTTTAGGTATGTCCTTAAACTCCGCAGCGGGGCCATTTATAACTATGGAGATCCGAGCAGGATAGAAGCCGTTTGAGTTGGTGGTCATTGTTGTGTATGACGCTGGTTTGGCTTAGTTCAGTTTGGTTCGGTTCGGTTTGGTTTCGACATTTCGTCTAGGCTGTCTCTGGGTAGACGATACCTGAGTTCTCTATCAGGATTGTCAAAGTAGGAACCGCGGTGCAGCCCCATCCCTCTTTCAGATATTTGGACCATGGCTCTCGAGACACTTCTCCCCGCACAAAGATGGCGCCGAGCCTAGGCTGAGCCAATAGGGAGTGGCGTTGCTCCCGGTTGCCTAGGTAACAGCCAATGAGCAGTGGGAATTGTGCCCAGTGCGGCTGCCCGGGATGGCGGCGTCAAGTGGGGCAGGAGCTGGTGGAGGTGGCGGAGAAGCAGGTGGCAGGAACAAGCCCCGCGGAGCAGTGGTCCGGGCTGTTGGAGCCCCGCGCCGGGGCCTGACGGTCATCACGAAAGGCGGAGCCCAGGTTGGCTGGCAGCGCGAGTGGGAGGAGGACGGGAAAGTGTGATCGGTGAGGAAGGGACTGATCCCAGCCCGAGATGACAGGGTCTTCGGAGCGCGGCTCCACGCCCGACGCGCTTCCTGAAGGTGGCTGCTCGGGGGTCCCAAACCCGGGCCTCCCATCTTCATCGCCGGGGACCAAAGCCTGGGAGAGCCCCAGCGCCAGGGTTAGTGAGCGGAGTAGGTAGGGGCCGCGTTAGGAGGGGCTGGCTGACCTGTGTGAGCTGAAGATCCGGCCCGGGCAGGAGAGCAGACCCGGAGTAGAGGGAAGGAGCAGTTCTGAAAGGCAAGAACGGGTGGTTGCAGGAAAGGGGAGGTCGACTATGTTGCCTTGTTGCAATCTACAGCTTTGTTTGCTTTGGACCCGCCTCTCTCACACTCTGTTGGAGAGATGTCCCACACATCAAGGCTTGGGAAATGGGATGCCTCAGTTAGTTGATGGTGGCATCCCTGCAATCTAGCATCACCAGAATGCTAGAGTAACTCAGCAGGAGTAACTCGGCTATATTAGAACCCTGCCCAGGCATTTTCCTTAACCAGGAAATAGAATAATACTTGTCAGTCTCCATTAGCCCTAAGTCTTTTTATTTTAATTTTTTACCTTCTTTCTGGTGTCAGGATTTTCTTCCAAATTCCTTCTATCCAACCGTCCCACAGTATTCCTAAATAAGAACTTTACCTAGTAGTGATACATTTGTTTACTTTTCGAATGTAAGGGAGACTTACAGTAAAAGAAACTTCCAGACTTAAAAACAGTATTTCATGCTCATTTAAATCACCTTAAAAAGAACGTTTGACTTTCTGTTCTAAGTTTCTTACAAGCCTAATCTTTGTTCATCAGAGCCTTCATTTTCTTCTCTTTGGGATTCTAAAAGCTTGAGTACTATACTTTCTTTATAACTGAAGGAACTTTGACAAGACTGTCATACTTTGGGGAGGATGGTTTGGGAGTGGGACAATGTTGAAGGTAATGTGGGTGATTAAGGTAGCCGCCTCAAAACAATATTCTTAAACTTAAAATCTATTTCCCTTTATGTTAGTTTCTTTATTCTCTGAATTTGTACACAGGTTACTATGAATGCATAAATATTCTTTTAACAAGTTTGAAATTTAAAAATTTCTGAAATTAAAAAAAGACAAATGGAGTGGAAATAAAAATTATTATTTCTGTCTTTGACTTCTATTTGGAAATGTGTGGGTCAGGAGAAAAGAAAAATAGCAGGGATATAGTCTTGTGCGGGCTAATAGTGTATTAGTTTACACAGATAAAATACTCATTTCCTTTTAGATAAATGTTTGGGTTGATCCTTTGCAACCCATCCAGCAAGAGAGAAGAAAGGGCGGGTATATTTATAGAAGAAGCATGAATTATCTTGACTCTGTGACTAGATTCCATATGTATATCTGAAGCCTAAACTCCTAGGCCATCTATTCTTTTTAAAAAAATTTTAAATAACTGATACAAATACTGACTTGCTAAAGTATTGGGATTTTCTGTCTTCATCAGCACTGACTATACTCTATTAAACTAGATTTGTCTCAGTGACCATAGTAACAGGTGAAATTTCTTTCTGGGTCAGTGGCTATGCAGCTGACTATTAATTAGCATGGCTAATTACCGAAGTCATAAATGAAAATCCTGACACTGCCCTAGACAGTGACAATATCAATTATTTGGGTACAGGTAGAAGTTTCTAGTCAATGTGTTCAACCATAGCCTGAGCCTCATGGACTTGACATGTATTCTCTTTAATTAGCACTTCTGATTGTGTTCTTGAGAATGGATATCATTTTGACAAGCAACTGTTGAAAGGGGTTTGCTCTATTTTCCTAGGCCTAAAAGGAATGGAAATTTGTAGTACAGTATGTACCTTTGAAAACAAATGGGAAAGGATGGTGACAAGGTTAGGTTGAGAGATGATGTTCCAGTTCCTATTACTGTATAACAAATTATCCCAAACTTAGCTGCTTAAAACAACCATATAATGCTCACAGATACCTCAGATGGGATGTGGGCTCAATGGCTGGGGGCTGGAATCTTCTGGAGGCTCCTTTGCTAGTGCTTGGTACCTGGGCTAAAATGATTCAAAGATGAGAACTGCCAACTGGCGCTTCAACACATGTGTCTGGCTGTCTGACTTGGCTTCCTCACAGCTTGGTAGCCTCAGGGTAGTCAGACTTCTTATGTGATGGCTCAGGTCTCCAAGCACAAGTGTACCAGTGAGCAAGATGAAGTTGCATCACCTTTTATGATCTAACTTAAGAACATACCATCCCTTTCATCATGTTCTATTGGTCAAAGCAATCACAAGCCTACGCAGATTCAAAAGAAAGGAGTTAGATTACACTTTTGGTGGGGCAATGGCAAAGTCAAATAGTAGAAGAACTTGTAAGACAGGAGCTATGATTGTAAACATCTTTGGAAAATACAATCTACCACATTTGGTAATAAGAAGATAATCTTTCAAATTTCACTGGCTTCCTTGAAATATTTAGGGTTGTTAAAGAACAAAAATTCAACGAAGTAAATTTAAATATCTAATTGGCTTTGCTGAATGATACCTGAATTGGGCAGCATATCTGGTAAAAATAGAAAGGTGCTCCTGAGGAGTTGTACAAAATAGAAGATTTTTATAGCCAGAAAGAGGATGGGACAAGGAAGTTAAAAGAATAGATTATTTCAGGCACAGTTACCTTCCCTTAGGAGAAGATCAGGGGTCTTATCAGGCAGATTTCATCACTAATGCTGACCAGGGAATTCTAGACAGATGGGTGTAAAATTCCACTCCTGGGATAAGCTGAAATTGCAGTTATGTATTGAGTATTGGTGGAGCTTACCACAAATGACCCTATTGTGAGTCTGTTGTTTCTTTTTAACAGTATATTTCCCAAGAGCTAACAACCAAAAGAGTGGCTAGGTTTACAACTTCAGGAGCTGGCTAGTACTTTGTCCACAGCTAATCTTCAAACTGGAGAAACACTATTCTCCTTCTTTCAGGGACCATCTACTGGTCCCACTGAAAGAAAGTGGGATGCCACGATTTGGGAGTTTCATGTGGCCTTGAGAAAAAATAAACAAGAGACTGTTCCCCCTGAGCCCCTTTGTGGTCAGTCTGACTCCTCAAATCTCACAGCAATAACTCCTTCCAAAGCTTTGAGTAAAAACAAGTTAACTGCTGCCTAACATTTAAAAGAAATGCCCTTATCTTATCTTCCTGTACAAATGATTTTGTGTTTATGTTTTGGAATGGTTGTTTAGTCATAAAATTTAGAAGATACCACCTTTCAGATTCTGACTTGTTTTGAAGGAATGAGATAGTTCAGATTTGTACCGTAAGCTGACTTTTAGTACCCTTGGCTTAATTTATTCTGGGAAGAGCTAAAGATGGCCTCAAGCAACCACAATGCCTATCTGGACTGGAAAGAGTTTTCCTCTGCAGTTTTGATGGAAAACTGTTTCTCTTCCTCTCATTAATGTTGTATTTGCAGTGGAGGCATGTTGACCTCTACCCCAGGCACACTCTGATACTGGGCTGACGATAGGAAGATTGCGCTCCTGAAATTGGATGCTGACCTTGTGGAACATTGATGGGACAGAGATGGCATACCAGGTACCAGCATCATCTCTCTGAGAAAATAGCCCCTGAGGTTTTAAGGGGCTTTAAGACAAGAAGAAAATGATCCTTTCGGTGAGACATCATCTACTGTGTGAGAGACAGTGGATATGGAGTTTCTGAGTAATTAGAAAAGTGAGAAAGTCCCTGGTGGAACCTGTGGGGGTGACTCCCAAACATCTCTAGAAGAGCATCCACAAAGCTGGCCTTCATTATGGGGGTAGAAATGAATATTTCTCTGCATTTGGGTGAGACCACAAGGAGTTCAGAACTCATCTATCTTCATAGCTGGATCAAACTAGAGCTCTGAGACAGAGCCAGGGCCTAGATGATATGACTGAGTTGTGCTCTGTTCAGGCCAAGCTGTTTTCACATCAGACCATGTCTGGGCATGCGGCATCTGTATCAAAAATCATTATAGCATAGGCCCAAATTAAAATATCCCATAGGATATTAATAAAGAACAGATGAGTGGCAACTGTAGTTTGCTTTTCCTCTACTTAGTATTTACATCATTAGTCAGAATTGCTGATTCCATTACAATAATTGTGTGAATTTAGTTGTCTTTCTGAAAGAGGAAAAGAACACTTAATGCACAGGGCTATGCAGTGTTCTAGGTACTTTCATGTCTTTTATTTAATTTGATCCGCATGCCAATTCTGTTAAGTAGGTATACTATCTTCACTTTATAGAAAAAGAGACTGAAGTTTAGGGATAGTTACTTAAGTTGTCCA